ATACGGGGAACTTGGGCGTTACTCGAGGGCGCCGAGTGTCACGATCCGGCTGAGATTGTTTAAACAATAGAATTGCAGTTGCTATATATGTTTATACCAAGGGTTCCCTGGGTTTCCCTGGACTGTGTTGAGCTAGACAGTCAATTTGTGTCTGGTAGCTGGTTGCCAAGGCGTCATCGCGTCCATCAAATGTCAAGAAGTGACACGAAATAAAATGGGGATCGGTGTATATCTTAATGAACTTTAATAGGAGAATTTGTATGAAAATTTGTTAGAGGTAATAGTGAGATAATAGTAAAGTATAAGATTTAAGTTAAGTTTTAAATTATGGGAATATCTGGAGAGGTTTTAGCGCAATGATGATATCAGTATTCATCAATTTAGTTAACTTCGTCATATCTTTGTATCTTTATATATTTTTCCTTAAGAGTTTAGGGATTTTAGTGATTGTAAATGTTGTCTTAAGGTATTTCATTTGTATATTTTTTTTATGTAAAAATCTTTTGAAATATTTTTTTACTTCTTTATAAGAATTTCAAGTCTAACCTTTGTAGTAGAAATCCCAGCTCTAAGCTCAACGAATACCTCTTTCAAATGTTACCTTTCGAAATCTTTTGAATGAAAATATTGTGTAATATTACTCTAAATTTGTTAATATAAAATCCCCTAATAATATATTTATTTAAAGTATCTCAAATTCCAACTCTCATCTAAAAGAAATTTCATTTTCAACTTTAACCTTTCCAAATTCCTGTCAACACAAATCAGGAGTGGCTATAATGGAGTATAATATAAAATGCCCAAATATAAATCATTATCATTAAGCCCTTCCTGGAAACCCAATAAATTTGAATGCATCTCCTTCAAGGGGTCACCTCTGGGGGGCAACAAAACCATATATCCATGGACCATCATCATGCATTTTCCATCTCCACGTCCGCCGGCGGTTGACGACTCTTTGTGACCCATAAAATAAAAAAATGCATTTGTTGATGCCATTACTTTGTTTTGTTTTTTTTTTTTTTTTGCAATAGAGTTGCAGCAGCATTTTCCTTTTGCCAGCAAGTAAGCAATATTTTCTAGCGATATGAGTGTATTTTCATAATTAATTTCTTTTGGCTTTTGTTTGTGCAGAAGTGAAATATGGCTGCGACTACAATGGTATTAGTAAGTGGATATAGTAGTTTTGCAGTTGGAAAACCTTAGTGCTGCACTGTGACAGTTTTTTCATGGCTAGGTTTTTCCTCTCTCCCCCTCTTGTGCGGGGCTTTTTATCGACAATTTCACTTTTGCGCAGCCGCAGAGCTCCATGATGATGAAGATGAAGATGCCATGAAGACCCAGGTACTCCCCTCTCTCATATGTGATGACGACAGTCAACAATTGCCGTGTATGTGGTGATGGTTGGTGGTTAGTCTGCCTCCCCAAGATTCCCAAGCACATTGTAGGATCGCGTGCAATACCCTCTGAATCCAAGACCCAATATCCAAAACCCAATCCCAGTTTCAGCTTCAACTCCAGCTCTAGCTCTAGTAGCTCCCCTAACTCATTTGTCACAACCTTATGGCATTTTCAAGTGCAAAGCCAAGGTTGCATGTCGCCCACTGTTGAATCTCGTTGTGATCCTCTCCAGCGGCAGCGGGAGTCCGCTTTTATTATCGACACGAAACTGGTTTTTGGGTCGAGTTCCCAGAGTTCCCAGAGTTCCGCCGCCGCATCAGGCCGCATCAGACCAGGCCAGACCAGATCCAGACTCGGTCTCTAGTTAAGTTTTCACTTGGCAAAAAAAATTCGACACACTAAAGCAAAGATTATTGCTTTTTTAATTAGTAAAAATATAGGTGGTATAAGTAAAATATAGTAACTGAAAATCAGAAACATAAGGGACTTAAAGTTTCAATAAATAAGCTGTTAAATATTATAGTTAGGGAATAAATCACAGTATCTATCTAACCCTTAGGAGTTTAAATTGTTTAAGTTGAACTACTAAAGTGTTGTCTTTAAATAGTTTAAAACACATAAAATAAATGTTATAAGGTATACCAGTAATTTTGTAATAATTTCTTATACAGAAATATATATTTTTCCTTGCCTAAAATATAACTCTTTCCCCTGCTAAATATAGGTAAAATTTTAAAAAACAACAAGCATTGGAATGAAACTACTGAGTTGTTGTTTATAAATTGTTCAAAATAAATAAAATAAATGGTACAAAGAGTACCAGAAACTTGGAACAGATTTCTCTTACAGTAATATGTATTTTCCCTTGTCTAGAATATGTATCTTTTCTCTTCCAAATATTTCTAAATATACTTTATATTTTTATTATGACCATCTAAAGGCTCTTTCTGTTTTAATCTAAGTGTAAGATTCACCTCCTCCATCTGTCAGCTGCTCGGTTGTTTGCCAACAGTTGCAGAATTTCACTTTCTTTTCAAATTGCGGCGACCTCGATTTATTGCCAACCCAGAGACATCGCCATGTGGATGCGATGGTGGATTCCAGCAGAGTGGGATTTTTTTTTCGACTGCCTTTGTTTTTTTTGAAGCCTACCCCTACACAGATATATAAATATATAAATTTATAAAGATTTCTTACATATATATATGTATATAGTTTAAGTATAATTGAATTACGTTGAGCCGCAGCTTCCAGAGTCTGTGTCTCTAGGTGGAAGTCTTCCAAATAAGCCGAGACACTGAATAAAAAGAAAAAATCATAAAATAATAATAATTATGGGAAAGTGAACGCCCATTGTTGGCACTACCAACTACAGTTTTTGGCTGCTTTTTTATTTTATTGATAACTCGCATTAATGAGAGCTCATTTTCACATAATTAAGATGAGGGTTTTGGTTTAATAGGGGACTGGGATTAGGACTGAGACTTGGTCTAGTAACTGAAATAATTATTTGTGAAGGAAAAAAGCTTGGTTTAATTAGTGAAATATATTTAATGACTATTTATACTTAAGATTTAAAACAGAAAAGCTTTTAGAATTATAAAGAAAGCTACTTTGGCTAAGATTAAAATTGATGTTTAAAGAGATCTTTGAATGCCTTTCTGTTTTGATATAAACTCTAGTACCTTTTTTATATTAAAACTATTTTGTTTTAAAAGAAGCTTCTTTAAAATTCATTTCTCCTGTTTATTTCTTAATAATACTATTGTTCCCACACTTGAAGAAATATTTATGATTGATTTCCCGCACATTTGTTTCCCACAATTTCCCTGATATTTATTAACCTTTTGGAGCCACCTTGCCAGGGGGTGGCTCCATCATCATTCAGATCGAATTGGATGCAGTGCAGCCACTGCTAACCATAAATCAGACTGAAAATAATTCCTGATTAACCATAAATAATGGCAAATTGTCATTTAAGATGCACATGAGTTCAAGGAGGAAGTTGTAGATACTTTTCCCTCATGACTGTGGTCACTTCGAGTGTGTGTGGAAGGAAGTGGAAGGTAACGGAGAGCTTGGGGAAGGTGGCCAGTAGCCGTTGGCTATTTACCTTGGCTAATTAGCAATTTGTAGAAGTGACCACCGATCGACCCAGCCTCAGCTTCGGACCGCGCCCGGAGAAAGCTGCCTTTGCGAATTGAAAAAAACTGTCAATTTGAGCATTCGATTGGAATGTGACCATAGAAAACCGAGCTTTTGGTTCAAGTTTATTTGCCAGACACTCAGCAGAGACTAATTCAAGGGGTAGAAAGTTCTCAAAAGGTCAGGGGTGTGATTTACTTAGCTTTAACATTATTTAAAAGGGTTTTTATATGGATTTTTTGTTTGCCTTATTCCATAATAAAGTTAATTAAATTAACAATAGCTAAAGATAGCTTTCAGTTGAATTAAATAAATATTACAAATATTTTTGTATATTTTCATAATCCCCTTCAAGTGGCCTATAATTTATTTAATATTCCTCCTCTTAACTACACTTTGCAAATATTTGTTTATGAATTGAAATATATCTCCAGAAATATTTAGCACTTGAATGGAAAACTTTAGAAGTAGTTTATGGCCATCTATAAAGGTGTTCCACTGACCACTTGATATACCTGATAATTGGTTCTTTATCTCGTTTAATGTTTTGTGCCTTAGTCAGCCCGGTTGTTGTTTGTTCATGGAAGTCTTTCCATTAAAATGCTCATTATCGTCAGCCACAAAAATTTGATATTAATTTGTTATTGTCATAGGTTTTTCTTAATTATTTTTTTGACAAAGGTTATGATGATTCAAGGGAATGAAAAAAATATATAAAATAATAAATAAATGTATATAATACCAATTATTCAGTCAAAAGCTAAAAACACAGTGAAGGAATCATTTCCGACCCTATAAACCCTATTCCTATTCCCTATTCTTGATGAACATCAACAGGCGAATCGATCTAGACATATCTGGTGGAAAAAAAAATTTGATACATTTTTTCTAAATTTTATAAGGGATTACATTATTAACATTGTCAAAAATTAATCAAAAATTTTAATTTTTTTAGTTTTTAAATTTAGTATGCAGATTTGTTAACGTGCTAAAAACTAGCTCAGAAAAGTTTTCCGAATTGAAATTAATGCATTTTTGACTTAGTTATGCAAGTTTTAAAGCTCTAAATTTTTTTAAATCAATATGTAAAAAAAGAACTGTAATAATAATAAGTTTTATTTTAAAAATAGAAAAAGATGCTAACTTGAAGATGCCGATTTTTGTATAGCCTTGGTTTTTATAAGAATACTAGAATATTAGGCTTTGATATAGTATCTACGTATATTATATGTATATGTATATGTAAATGTCATAATTAAGACTTACCAGAGAAGAGGGCACATTGGTTATACTTTTTCGTCATTTCTTCCAGTGTAGAGGCTTATTTTTGGTGACTTCAATAACACTTCTTATGGTATCATCGAAGCAGGCATCGTTATCCAGATGCATTCCATTGGCCACGTAATATTTTTGGGGCCGAAGGTTAATCACTATCACTACACCACTCCCAATAGATGTTATCAGCAGGCGGCCTCGGACGGAATGAGGCGCGCAAGGCCTGCAGCGCCTCTATTTATAGTCCCCGAGTAGAGAGCACAAAGAATCTGAGAGCGAGAGAGTAAGAGCTATCACAGGAGAAAGGCAGTGAGAGTTAGAGAGCAAGGGGTATCTCTAGAGATACAGAGAAAGGAATAGGCATACCGAAAGAGCGAGAGAGAGGGGGAGTGAGAGGAGGGAGAGGGAGAGTGGGAGGGAGTTTGGGAGGAAGAATAAGAGGGTGTGTGGGAGGGAGAGTGGGAGAAAGAGTGGGAAGGAGTTTGGGAGGAAGAGTGGGAGAAGGATGGGGAGGGAGTTTGGGAGGAAGAGTGGGAGGGAGAGAGGGAGAATTAAATTTAGAGCAAGGGTAATGCATCGCTTTTTTGGCAGCTATATACATTTACGATATGCATAGTGCCCAATTTTCATAAACTTAAAAAGTAAATTCTATAATAATACAAAATTATAATAATAATAATTAGAATAAAATATTTTGAAAAGTTATAATTAAAAAAACTATGTTTGACATATAACAGATTTTGATTTAAACAAAATGGATCAAATTCCCAATGATTAAATTATAAGTAGCAAGGGTTTCCTTTCTTTTTTTCTATATATTACAAAAAAAACATAAATAAATGTATATAAGTGTGTCTCTGCTCTTGTACCATCCTCTTATTTCCAAAACTTTCTGAAATTGCAAAAGTAAAAACAAAAATACAAATAAAAATAAAAACCAACCGGATCGGTGGCACATCATCTTTCATCTCTGTCCATACCGAACCGGATCGGATCGACCTGCTCTCAATAAATTAGGAGTCTGGCGGGGATTTATGGCTTATGGAAAGTGAAATCCTGAAATCTGGTTTCTAATTGCCTTCCATTTTGTTTCACTCTCTTTTAGGCACTCAAATGGCAATCGGCGTTAACAGTGATCCTGGTTTCCTGGCTGGCAGCAGCAGCAGCTGGACCTGGTCCTGGCACAGCATCTGCAAGGTCACTCCTGCTGCCCGCCCAGCCGGCGGATCATCTTGTGCCGCCGCCCCTTCCCGTGCCCCAGAGGCTGCAGCATGCGAGTGCGGGATCTCCAGCGGGTCCACCTAGCTCACCACCGGTTGTGGCGCTACCGGAGCCCGGTCTAATGAATCGCTTTGCCAGGTGGCTGGGCCTGGGAGGCAGCAGCAGTAGCAGCAGCAGCACCACCACCCAGTCGAAGGACCAGCTGGCGGGAGCCACCAACTCCCTGAGCTACGCCTACCCAAAGCCACACCAGGGCTTCGATGCGGGGGGCAAGCCCTGTAGCCTGTGCAACAAGTATCCCTGGGTGCCCATGGTGGGTCAGAGTCCCCAGCAGCATCAGCAGCATCAGCAACATCAGCAACATGCTGCATTGCAGGTGCAACAGCAGCAGCTGCAACATCTGCCTCAGCAACATGCCTGGCAACTGCAACAACCTCAGCCTCAGCCTCAACAGCCCCAGGCTCAGGCCTCGCAGCAACGCCAGCGAGCTGTCCAGTTTCATCCCAATGTCCAAACCAATATCCTCACCAATACCAATCCCCCCCAGAGTGTGTTCCTGCCACTGGCAGTGCCGCTGCCGCCGTTGTATAATGCTCAGCCCTTTAGGCCCATGAATCCAACACCTTTGCGAGAGAATGTGGTGGCTCAGTCGGAGGTGAGACCAGTGCCTGTGTCCCTGCCCCATAACCACCACCAGCAGCAGCACCAGCAGCAGCAGCAGCTCCATTTGCAATCTTCAAGCAGCAGCAGCTTTGAGATTGTGCCCAGCCACCAGGTCACGGATTTTGTGACCTCCGTGGAGTACCCAGCCACCTTTGTTCAATCGCATGCCATTGATTTGGGTGTCACAGGTCAGGGACAAGGTCAAAGTCAGGATCAGGAACCGCCGCAGGACATCAGCACAGTTCGCTATCAGCTGGACGACCTGAGCAGTGGTCAAGTGCATCAACACCTGCCAGCCTCACAGCTGCTGACAGAGCTGGGACACTTTGCGGAGACCACCACACAGCTGCCGCCGGCGGATAACTATCCAGCGGCCTCATCACAGCAGCAACTCCATCAGGAACAGGAGCAGGATCACGAACAGGATCAAGCTCTGTACTATGCCGAACAGTATCAGGAGGAGACCAGCACTCTGGTGTACAGTAGCACCACCACAGAGTTACCAGTTACCATAAGCACCACAACAACAGAGCAGCCACCAGCGTCGGCTCCACCAGCACCTGTCCTGGAGCTCAACAATCACCTGGCGGCAGTGCAGACCTATCATCGGGGCAGGGAGACACCCAAGCGATTGCTAGACTCACCCATTAACCATATTAGCAGCGGTGGTGGTGGCAGCGGAAGACCCTTTACACGCGATCCCGCCGACCTCAGTTTCCGTCTTAGCCAGGTGTATACACCAACTCAACCGCCCACGCCCACTTCCACATATGGAGCCATCGATGCCAGTGGCCAGTTTGCAGGGATGGCACCACCGAGACCCCAGCAGGTCATCATACCCTATACCACCAAGCAGCAGCCACGTCCCTTTGAGAGTTGGCGTCCCAGCAAGCAGCTGGGTGTCCAGGGACATCGTCATCGGCAGCACAACGATTTGGAGGAGGAACCGCATGAGCAGCAGGAATCCAAGTTGGCCACTGCCACAGTGACTGCGCCACCATTTGCACCCAATTCCAGTCGCACCACCACATACCTCACCAAGATTCTGGCCACCAATCTGAGGGAGTTGCTCAAACGAGAAAGGGCCACCAGGAGGCCACCCAATCACATCACCGGTGTGGATATCTCCCAGTTGCAGCACAACATTGATGGCTGGACGGAGCAGGAATACAACTCGTTGTCACATCGTCCCAGTACACCCACCATTCGTGGCAGATCCAAGCACATACCATCGGAGTATCTGACCACGACAACGACCACTACTCCAGCACCTAGCTCAGTGTTCCAGCGTCAATCGAAGACCACACGCGGAGAAGGTTTCGAGCTGGGAGCTGCTCCGCCCACAGATGCCGGTGATTTGTCCACCTCCATCAATAACCTGGAACATCTTCATCTGCTCGGGGAGCGGGGGTCAAAGCGTTTCCAGCCAATCGAGGATAATCGGCTGCCCTTTGATTACTATGACGGTCAACAGAGGCCACGATCCACGCCGGCTATGACCACCCAAAGACCCAGTCCAAGTCCAAGTCCTAGTACAACCACCACGACCGAGGTGACGCCGCTCTATGTGCGCAGCACCTTGGCACCCAAGGAACCCTGGAATCCCGCCCAGGTGGCCATTCTGCCGCAAACGAATGAGAAGGTCTATGTGGTTACACCACAGCCTAGGCATCAGTATCATCATAATCATCATCATCATGTGGTGGCGGAGGATCATCATGAGGGATCTGCCTCAGCGCCCAGGCCTGTTTATCAGACCCCAGCGCCGAGATTTCCAAGGATGCGACCCACTCCAGGCAAGCAGGGGGAGAGGTTCTTAGATCCTTAGGAGGAGAAGAAAGGGATTACATTAGGGATTTCCAGTTGAACCGATTTATATATATTCTATATTTATTTTCCCCACTTAGCTGGCGAAGTGAAGGCCGCCACGCCCACCAGCTCCTCACAGCTGCGTAACTATACGCCGGATATATTCGGTTTGATGGGACTGTCCGCCTATGTGCCCGGGGAGCCAGTGGAAATTATCGATGGAAATTCCAAAGTAAATGGCGACCTATTTTAGTTATGTATTCGATAGATATGTAATCGAGCTCCCTTTTATTTTGTCTCCAACGCACACTGTACTCATTGCAAATGCACTTAAATCCTCACTTTAAATACCCATTGTTACACTGAACACCACAATTTACACCTTGCTTTACAACATGCCTTACAACATGCTTTACAACATCCTTTACAACATGTTTTACAACATGCTTTACTACGAACTTCATACCGTATGCTTCACTGTACTTAATACCATACGTTATATCACAATTTTCAACGTACTTTTCTATTAAATTTAACAACATCCCATAACATAATTTGCATCACACTTTTTGATTTCTTCATATACTTTACACCACACTTTCCCCCCTCTATTAAATCCTTAATTTAACCCACTTTAACACCACAATTTACAAAATAAATATACCACATTTTACACCAAAACTCCACAACTCATTTAAAAATTCAATCTAACACCCCATCATACGCCTTACATCGCAACTTACTCCACACCTTACTCCAACATTTACTCCACCCTTTACACTACAACTTATACCACACACAACTCCACCGGTTACACCACACCTTACACCACCATCCCCAAAAATCACACCACATATCGCAGGTCCACACGATCGTGACGGCAGCGCCAACGGCAGCTGCGCTCCAGCGACCGACAGCGAAGCCCACGATGTCGCCCTCGCCGAGATAGAGGCCTCAAGAGGTCACGAAAGGTTACAGCGTAACCTTGCCCCCGCCTGTTGTAATATAATTTCCCCCCCACAACCTCCAGCAACATGAACCTTAGATTATATATGTATGTAGACAGAGAATGAGAGCAGAGTCCTTGAAAGAGTTCTACTTTAAGAGATACCCGAATCAGAGTTAGAGTATTCTTGCATTTGGTAGCTTTATAAACACATAGAAAAGGACGAGGACAAGGATCGAGGGGAGTATCCGATCCGAAAGACGACCAAAGGAGTGGAAATTCCCATAGTTTATATATACACAACGTTTCTAATTTTTTTTTTTTTGTTTGTTTAGAACTTTTTGTGTTTCATTTTGTGGCTAATCCTTTCCTTTGCTAGCTGTAATTCTTATTAATGTAATATATATATATATATGCATATATTATATATACATTTTTTTATAAAGCGAATTTTATAAACAATGTAAGAAAACAAACAAAAAATATATAGCAAAAACGAACAACAAAAGAAGAACAAAGTCATTTAAATGTATCCTACTTTGTAAGTACGATTGATAACCAATAAATATTCTCGGATTTCGAATAAATTATATAGCAAAATTGCCTGAAAATGATGTATTTTCTTTTAAGTTGGGAAATCTAAGGCTAAGAGTAAGTATAAATTAATATAAGCTAAGAAATATGCCAAAAATAATATATATATCATTCAGCCTAAAAGATACCACATAATTTTTTCAAGTTAATTATAAATATAATCCGAAGTTTGCTAGGCAGTTAAACAATCCTTTCAGACCCTATAAATCATATATATTATTGATCAACATCAACGGCATGTACTTCCGGCTTTAATTTTATAAAAATCGGCCGACAATATTATTTATATGTCACAGAAATGATCGGCAAATTAATAGAATATAATAATAATTTCGCAATTTTTTTTAACATTCTTTCATTCTAATATATTTATTATTTTCCATTATCATTTCAATTTCCATTATAATTTCATAGAATTAAAAAAAAATACAAGGGTACGACCAACCAGCAGATTCAAATTAGACTGCGTTTCCCTCCCAATTCAAAATTGGCAGCCTCTTATAAGTGGCCACCTGTCATTTGACGATATTGCCGTATCCTCTCTCTTCCCAACAAGAAATTCACCAAAATATCGCCGCCTTCCAGTACGGCTTAGCATCCTCTCCCGATTACAATTGGAAATCAGTTCTCATACGCCGCTCGGACGCAACGGAAGGAAAAAACTGACTCGGAAAAAACCGAAAACGAACATGGCTCCACGCAAGGAGATCGCGGAAAAAGGTTTAACGCGGAAAACCTACGGCGGAAAAACAGCGGCAGTCGCGGAAAGTACGGAAAATCATCGAGAACCGGCAGTGAAAAGTATTAGAGTGAATCAAGTGAGGGGGAAAGACCTGGAGCACCCCCCAAAATGTAAGCCGGGCCGCTGTCGTGTTTTTTTCGGTAATTCGTAAATCATACCTAGCCAAGATCAGTGCGCGTTACTTTGGCTACTCAGTTTTGTTGTTTTTTTGTATGTGCAAGTGCAAGAAAATGTATAAAAGTGTGCCAAAACCTTCCGAAAATTAGAAGGCTTTTTTTTTCCTTTTTTTTCTTGTGTGTGTGTGTGTGTCACATGACTTAAATCGCCGTTGCAGTCAAATTGCAGCAACAACGAATGTACAGGGGTGAGTGAGACAACTCTATTTTCATTTTTCGGTTATCCTCGATTTTCTTTATTTCGCGCGCGAATTTTCGCTCGCGTCGTTTGGATCAGTGTTGGCAAGTTAGGACCACCCGCACAAGCTAGATTCTGTGCAAAAAGTAGCTAAAAAAGGCTAACTATTAACAATTAGTACTGAATAATGGCTATAATCGAGAGCACACGTGGTACATATGATATCTATATTTATCCTATATAATAAATAATATAATCTGCTAGATAAATGGTTAAATCAAATAATTAGCTATAAGATAACTTTAAATTTCATAATCTTGGCCGTTTTCAAATATGACAGATATAGCTAAGCAGGCAACACTAGTTGGGATTTGCAGCGACACCAATGTTAAAAATTGAGTGAGACAACTCTATTCTCATTTTTCTGTTATCCTCGATTTTCCTTGACTTCGCGCGCGAATTTTCGCTCGCGCCGTTTGGATCAGTGTTGGCAGGTTTGGACCACCCCTAGATGTGCAAAAATTAGCTAAACGGCTAAATAGAAAAAATAAGTGCTGAAAACTAGCAATAATCGAGAACACACGTAGTATATTATAATATTATATTATAGTTATATAAAATTATATACTAATAATATTATTACATTATATATATATTAATATTATAAATATTATAATATATTATATTTTTTTTATTTAATATATAATAAAATGTGCTAGATAGCTGGAAATTTCATTAGCTTCTCCATTCTCAAGTGTGCCAGATATAGCTAAGCCGGCAAACACTGGTAGGGATCTGCAGCGACACTGATGTTATGCTCGGTTTTCTTTGCCTTCGCGCGCGAACCTCCCCTCCCCATGACTTTTTGAATATTTGAATTCGCCGACCAATTCGCCGTGGATATCTGCGGCAAATTCAATGTAAATGATTGAGTGAAACGAAACTATTTCTCTGACTTTGCGCGGCCATATTCCTTCTCTTGTCCTTGCCGTTACTTTGCTTGCTCTCGCTCTGAAAAGTGGGACTGAAGAGCGAGAGAGGCCGATTTGGTTCTTAACTTTGATATTTGCCAAAGCTGCTGCCTTTGTTTACCTTTTTTTCCTAGGCTATTTTGTTGATTATTTAATAAATTTTTTATGAAACCTAATTTATATAATTATTTTCTTCCAGCCTTATTTTCTTATATATTAATTATTATTTTTATTGTTATTTTACACTCGTATTATAATATATTGAAATTTAAAATAGAATACCGTTAAATGACTTTAAAATAATTCCTTTATTTGATCAAAATAATTATTATTTATTATATGACATATTTATTACAATTATTATATATCTTCATTTATTTTCTATTTTTCCCTTAGTCTTTTTGGGTCATATTAAATGTGATATTTGTGTTATTATCTTTATCCACAGCAGCCCATTACATTTCCCTTGCTTATTTTTTCTAACACATGGCATGGCTTTGCTTTACTGCTGTAGCTTAGGATATTATTACCAGCCGGAAATTTCAACAGCTTATCTATTATTCAAGTATACCAGATGTAGCTAAGCGGACAACACTGGTTGGAGTCTGCTATCCTCTATTTTTTTGCCTTTGCGCGCCAAATTTTCGCTCTCCTCTTCTCCATGAAGTTTTGAATTCGCCGACCAATTCGCCGTGAAGATCTGCGGCAAACCCAATATGAGCGAGTGAAACGAAACAATTTCCCTGACTTCGAGCGGCCATATTCCTTTTACTGTCCTTACCGTTACTTTGCTTGCTCTCGCTCCTGAAAAGTGGAACGTAAGAGCGAGAGAAGCAGCTTAAGATCCACACTTATGGTTCTTAACTTTGATATTTGACAAAGCTGCTGCCTTTGTTTACCTTTTTTTGTTGTGAATTTTAAGATTTGTGAATTTGTGAAAAATAATAAAATAAGAAATAGAAAAAATAATAAGAAATGAATAATATAAAATAAAAATAATAAAATAATAAATAAAAATAAATGAAAACACAACTCAATTAACCTCAACTTGCATAATTACCTACTGCAATTCTTATTTAACTATATATTACTTAAATTATTGTTATTATAACGATGCAAATTTTAGATATAGGATTTTAATTTTAATTAATTAATTAGTTAATTTTCTGAATTGGTTGAAAATTTAATGAAAACATGTTTTCATAAAGCTTCTTTTACAAACACAAATTTCGGCATGCCGAACTTAGTTTCTCTTCTTGTTTATATTTTATATATTTAAATTTATATATTATATTACATTACAAAAAAAAAACTTCCTTAAAGCTAAGACAAAATATTTAAAAAATTCTTTGCTTCTAAACTAAAATGTTGTCTTTGAGTTGGATGCCGCCTCGACCCAAGTCCTTTAGGCTATGTACATAGATGCTCCACTTATCATCTGTCCACCAATCGCTGCTTGCGGCGATGCCGCCGTATCAGGGCCTCCAAAGCCCAAGAACCGGCCGCCACAAAGGACATAGTATTAAGGCAGTGCAAAGCCACCGAATAATCAAATCGATCGCGCACCAATCCTGAAACAAATGATCATTATTTATATTTAAATATATTAAATTAAAAAGTAATGGCAACTCACCCACAAAGGGACCACCGATCAAGGTGAACAGTCCCGAGATGAGCAGCTGCAGTCCTGAAGCGGCAGGCAAACGATTCAGCGGCACATAACCCGGTATGATCAGTGGCCAAAATATAGTACGTATTCCCTTGCACAGACCAATCCACACAAAACTACCCAAAATCAGGTGATAGGAGCGCGTACAGGCCACCACAGTGCGCCCGAGGGCAATGCCCACCACTCCAATGAGAAAGAAAACCCGATTATCCCAAGGCATCTTCTCGGTGAGGAATGGAACTAGAAACCGCATCAGGAGATCAAAGCCAGCGCACAGGGACATGGCCAGCGTGGTTTGACCCGTATCAAAGCCAAAGTCAGCCAGGATGAAGGGCACCAGAATGGAAAAGTTGAGCTCACCAAAGTTGATGAATGTCAAACCGGTGACAAGGTTCACAAAAGTGAAATCCCGCAGCAGATCCAGGTCAAAGAAGGTCACCACTTTGGCCAGAAAGGACATGCGAGAGGGATCTACAGACTCCTCCGCTGCCGCTATTGCTGCTCCTGCTTCCTCCTGGGATTTTTCCCTGCCATTATTGTTCTCCTGACAGCGACAGCATGTAGTGGACTCCACTCGCTCGCGTCGAAAGTTATTGGGTCGCAGGAACTCCTCCGGTGCTGCTCCAGAACCCTCCTCCTCGCTAATGGGGCAATGCAGTCGCTGCGTCTGCTCCAGATCCTTGGAACTCGAAATAGTGCGAAAACGCATACGACCCGAGGTCAGGGATATCTTGGAGCCAAACCAACCATCGTTGGCTCGCGAGAGCATCGGTGTGCCAGGTTCACAGATCTCGTAGCCAGGTCGCTGGACATCATCGTCCTGGCACAGATATTGGCTGGAGAAAATGCCACCCGGTTCGCGTTTCTGCTGCCAGGCACAGTGGGCACACAGTGGTGCCCCAGCCTCTGCCTCTGGATCTACCAAATCCTCTTTCTGAGGCGGATGAGGCTTCACATGGTAACGCACTGGCTGGTAGATGAGGGCACACACAAAGGCATGGAGAGAGATGGCGGCAAAGAGTAGAGTAGTGCCTTGGACGCCATAGATAGTTAGCATAAAGGTGACCAAGTGGGGCAGGAAGATTGGTCCCAGGCCCGTGATGGTCCAAGAGAAGCCCGCCGCCCGGCGACGCTTCTTCTGGAAGTATGTATTAATGGCCAGCGAGGAGGCAGAGACACTGATGCCCATGCCAAAGCCTGCAAGGAGAAAGGGATATGTTAATAAGGATTTACAGGGATCTTTAGGGATCTTGAGGGATCTGAAGGGACCTTGGGGAATCTTAAAGGGATCTTGAGGAAACTTTGAGGGATCTTGGGGCACTTGAGGGACCTTTAGGGATCTAGGGAATCTTTGGGGATTCTTAGAACATCTTTAGGCATTAAATTCCTTACCAAACAGCAGGGAATAGGCCACCATATAACCCAGAAAGGTCTCACAGAAGGCGGTCAACATGATGCCGCCGGAGATGAGCAGGGCTCCAGCCATGGCCACCTGCCGGAAGGTGAATCTCCTAAACATGGGACCATTCAGCAAACCCGTGCAGGCCGAAATGGCTGGATTCGTATTGATAATGGCTGTGATTTGTGAGCTGGACATGCCCAGGCTGCCCAGCCGATCCTTGAATAGGAAACCAAACTGCTGCAGGCAGGGATAAATAGATAGCTAAAGGTATAAGAAAGTTTATATTGCAATTTTCTTTGAATTTTCATAATTTTGCCATAAAACTTACATTGGAAACACCTGCTGCCACGCACACGACCCAAGCCCAGCCGCCATCGGGGGCCACAAAGTCCTCGCCCAGATCGCTCTTATCCTGTTTGTTATAGTACCTAGTCCTGGGCAGTGGACGGGTGGTGTCCTGGTACACCTTCTTCTCCATGGCGACTGCCTGAAAGCCTAGAGGGAAATGAGAGAAATGGCATTAAGTGATCATGACATTGATGGGGGAAAATATTCCATTGAGCTTTCCGGGGTCTCATAAGTGATTTACGAGACCCGATCGTTGGCAATTACTGAACGCAATACGTTAACGATCACTTGTCACAATTAACTGCACGGAGGGGAAACCAATGGTCTCCGCCCTGGAGATGCCTCCAATGTGCACAAACCTCCTCTCATTCCGAGCATTTTGTTGTTGCCATCGGCATCACCAGAGCCGGGTTCATGGCTGGCAACCAAAAGAAATTTGGAAATCTCTGGATCTCTTTAGTCACCTGAAGCCCCCTTATCAGTGTCATGTGACCGCCGGAGATTCTGAGACAGAGACTCGCACCCATAGAGACATCGGCCCGAAGAAAAAGTTAGCGCGCAAAAATCAATGAGTGTGAATCACGCTCCCACATCCTCTAACATAGTCGCGGTTCCGGATAGTAAGCTCCGTTCAAGGTTAAGCACTTATCAGTAGTTTGTGCCACCAAATATATTACAATCAGACAGAGAGACAGAGACAGAGACAGAGAGAGAGAGAGAGATTCCAGCTGATCATGATCCATAATCTATTGGGATTATCCAATACATTCATAAGATGAAGTGGCTTGGAAAGTGATTTTAATTGGTGATGAAAGGAGGTAAATATTAACGTCACATGAACCTTATAGTATTATTCTCAGGGTTTTTTATGAAAAGAGGTGTATATCTAGGCAAATCCCAAGTAATTCATTCAAAATAAACACTATTATTATTAGAAATTATGCAGTTTTTCATCAATTTAAATTGAACTTGATTAGTTTGACTAAGAAATAGGAGAAGAAAAGGCTTTATAAAGGCATTAATGCTAAAATATTTATATTACAGAAAATTACAACAAAAATAAGTTATATAAATTATTGGTCCTGGTCCTATTTTCCTGATATATTGGTTTGATGTACCAAACGTAATATCGATTGATCATACAAACGTATATCGCAACATTAAAATATTCATAAATATATATATTTGAGAGATCTATATTTTTTGTCATTTTTTAATGCCTCAATTTCTTTTTTAAAAATGGTATACTAATTTCTTGTCAATATATTTATATTATATTATACATATTTCTATATAATACAATTCCCAAACAGATTTTTCCTTGCAAAACTCCAACAATGTTAAAAAAAGAGCTATACCCTTACATAGTTTTTCCCTCCTAGTGATATGATTTGCTTTCTAAATCAGATAACGAATCAAACTGATAGCTGATAACTAAAGGGGGCCTAACAACACGCAATGCGATTGATAAAGCTCTTGGGAAAACTTTAAACTAAATCTCCCATTGTGGGGTCTCGCGACAGAGCCATAATTTATGGTTGAGAATTTTTTAGGTTCTCTGAGATAACTTTTCACAAAAACTTCTAGTTTAAGCAGAACATATATATATATATATTTTTTTCTTCTCTTACTTTTTAAAGTATTTTCCAACCTTTTAGAAGATTATGTATTGTCCCCACGAGGCGTGTGTAATCTTTTTAATTGGAAGCTTGGCCAGTCCTATATAGTAATTTCAGTGTATAATTGTTAGGTTCTTCCACACGTTTTAGTAAAACAATGTAACGCTTAGTTGAGAACAAGGCATATTTGTAAAATGTTTAAATATAATATAAACAAAAAAAATATATATGAAACTATGATGCACAGCTGCTAGCTTTGGTTTTTATTTTAGTTATGACTTTGGCACGTAGCAAACTCATTTGCTTAGATGTTAGTTTTGCTCACAAAACAAAAAATGTTGTTATTCCCTCAACTAATTGGCATTCTGTACTAGATACTAATAATCGTGATAAGCGCAAAACCCATTGACTGCGAATCCCTCGATAAGAATGATAAGATTAGGTTACATGGACATAAGGGGGCAATGGCTACTCTCAATTTATGGCAACTTTGTGCAGTTTCCCGCCTCAAATTAAAGTAACCAGACACTTGAAAAAATGGGGAATGAAATATAAAAGTATTTACTACAAAAAGTATCAAAGAAAACTAGCCAATAAAGTCTAAAAACTTGGGAATATATAAAAATCTCGAGTGTTGAATGCCTATTAATTTGTTTTTTGCTATTAATCAGTCTCCGTTTCTAAGGGAAACCTATTTAAAATGCAGTAACAAATCAACTGCCAGGTGACAGGTGCCAGGTGCGTGTCGGGAACGTGTCCCTAGGCCAGAACTCACCTATATTCCCTCGCCGAGAGCAGCGGACTCCCTATAGTATCTCCTTTGGCAAGATTGCAAAATTGGCGACAGAGACGGTGCACTTCCTGCGCTTTTGCAGTTTTTAGCTTTTATTTTTCGTTTATTTGGTTATTTATTTTATTTTATTTTTGTTTCATTTATTTTTATACACTCGAACGCAGCGAATTGCACTCACTTGGCGGCAGCGTTGGCCTGCATCTAATTGAAAAATACAAAAAACAAAAACAAAACAAAAATTAACGCGATTTGCGGCGCAAGTTCAAGGTTGATACGCGATTGATCAGTGTGCACAAGATGCTCGATTTTCCTTATTTCCTCCAGGTGCGGACGGGCGCCACACCTTCTCCTTCCGTGATTAGCGTTCTGCCAATCCCAAAACTATTACCATTTTTTTTTTTTATTTCTGTGTCACTAACTGAACCGATTTCGAGTCCGATCTGAGTCCGTGTCCGAGCGAAGCAGAATCGCTATAAGGCCGATGGGAAGATCGGATCGACTAATGCCAATCGATCGGTGCTACCTACAACTTTCACGTAATAGCAGTGTCGCGTTCTGTTAGCTAACAGAGCTCTGTACATGTATCTCTGTAGCTGTATCTGTATCTGTGTATCTGTAAGTTGTATCTGTATCTGTAGCTTGCGCCAAAATAGTTCGTTTTGAGATCTCACTGCTCTGTGCTCTTCCATGCTCTTCTGAGGCAATAGTTTCGTGTAGCCACGAAATTGAAACAAATTTATTAATACGAAACAATACAAATTGTTTTGTTTTGCCTTAAAATTTTCCATAGGAATTTCGCCAGGCGGATTGACATGTGCCTGATAATCTATGCTGGACATGGATTTCCCTTAGCCAACGTCTAAAAGCCCAAAAGTTTGCTACCAAAAGTCAGTAATGTAATTTAAAATTATAATTGAAAATAATAAAATATATACAGTTCACAGTAATCAACTGAAATTACACCTCAAACTGAAAATATAATCAACAGAAATTGGGAATTATTTTTAAGACATAACTAAATCAAAAATCTATTAATTTTAATTCGGAAACCTTTTCATTGCTAGTTTTAATTACGGTATTAAATCTGCATACTCAATTTTAATTTGAAATATTACATCGAATAGGAAATTTATCATTATTAAGATTTAAATATTCTTTACATCAATATAATTAATATTTTTATATGACAAATTTTGTCGACATATCAAACATTAAAAATCTCATAACTTTGCCAAAAAAGCATACATTTTAATTCGGAAAGTTGTCTTATGTTAGTTTTTATAAGATTAATAAATCTTCATACTCAATTGGTAAAATAAAAAAATTTAATTTTTGTCGATTTTTTTTTTAATTTTGACGATGTAACCCCTTATAAAATTTTGAAAAAATTAAAAAAAAAATTTGTCCGTCAAAGATGGCTAGATTGATTCGGCTGTTGATGCTGATCAAGAATATATATGATTTATAGGGTCGGAAATGATTCTTTAAGTACGTTTCAGGCTTTCAACTAAAATTATAATACCCTGCAAAGGTATAAAAAAAAATAGTTTTAATAGAATTTCAACTATTTATCATTTTACAAAACAAAACCATTTTATGACCATCAAATGCAATTGCAACACTTTATTAGACATTTGTATATAATTTTTATTACTAGTTTATATTATTAATTTAAGCCTTAAGTTAATTAATCATATCTTTTAATTGAGAAAATATTAAGGTATATATTTTGAATTTAAAATTAGGCTAAATTGGGTTGGAACACTTGGACCTAAGTAGGTTGACCTTTCTCCCAACTTTGTTCCAAAATTAATGCTATAAGACTTTCATCTTCTACTTAAGTTGAATGGATAAATCGTCACCATTTATGAATATATTTTTGAATCGACCATTATGCATATTTTATATAAATAGATGTATGTTTACTTTTTAAATTATTTTCTTAAGCTACGAAAAAAATTCCCTTATTCACGTAACATTTTTTGCACACTGTTTTCGGGTCTTGATGATATTTACTAACTTTCCTTGGATTACTCTGCTTTATTTCTATACTTAAAACTATCTTAAGGTTGGGATTTTAAAGCGACATCGATTACAAGAAGAAAGTCAAGACTTTGCAAGGAACTACTTTAATTTCTAGACAACTTTCATTTAGAGTGAGTTTAAGTTTAAGCTTTAAGTACTTGATTTACTTTCCATAACAGACTTTTGACTTTAAACTGGCTTCATTTTTGTTTATTTTGCAAACTGGATTACTTTGGGTATAAAGACTAAGCTGAAAGTGTTTTCAATTAGCCTTGATTTCTTTATATTTAAATTATTAAATCTCCCTTATCAAATTACATACACGCACACACAATTTCCACAATTAATTGTAGAACAAAATACACTTATCACGTATCACTAAGTACTTTCCATAGTATCTAGTATCAAGAGTATCAAGCACAGAAAAAAAGATGCCCATTAAGCTATATTAAAAGCTAATTAAGAGTTAATTTCTTAGGTATCATTACTAAGTATCCTCAAGTAATACTATGCACACAAATTGTAGTTCAAATTGAAAGACATTTACTGTCCCAGACCCTTTGAGGGTCGTCCCAGAATGCGACGAACCACGGATTCCGTAAGCCAAAGAAGCAGGGCCAAACAGGTCAAAGCATTGATGGTATGAATGGTGGCGGCATAGCCAAAGGCCTCCGTTAAGATGCCTAGAAAATAAATATAATTAATATAGATATACTAAAACATATAAAGGAAAATAGATACTCACCCAAAATGGGACCCATGGCAAAGGAGAACATGGTATTAAAGATCAACTGAAGACCCGAGGCTGCGGGCAAACGATTCAGTGGCACATAGCTGGGTATAATCAGCGGCGAGAAAATGGTACGGAAACCCTTGCCAAAACCAATTAGCAGGAAAACACCAATCATCACCTCATATGAGCTGGTAAATGAAACCACCACACGACCCACAGCAATGCAGAGAATACCAAAGGCAAAAAGCACTCGATTGTCCAGTTTAACCTTCTCCAAAGCTAGCGGAGCCAGGAAACGCACCGAGATATCCATGCAGGCCAGCAGGGACATCACCAGCGAAATCTGTGTATCCGAGTAACCAAAACTATTCAGTATGAAAGGCGTAAGCACTGAGAAATTCATCTCGCCAAACATCATGATGCTCATGCCAACTGCCAGATTCACGAAGGTGAAATCCCTTAGCAAGTCCAGGTCAAAGAACTTGCTCACCTTCTGGAAGAAGGTCATGCGTCGCTTGGCCTCCTCTTCGGCCATCACTTCCTGATCCTGATCTCCCATCTGTTCCAGCTGCAAAGCCTCGGCGGTTTTCTGTAGCAAAGCCTTATCCTCGGCACAGGTGCACCGCAAGAGCTCCTCCTGGCCAGGTCGTGAGTAGACACTCGTCTTACTGGCATACCGATCCATATCCTCACGTTCGCGGTTAAAGTAGTTGGGTTTATAGAGAGGTGCACCGGCGGTAGCCTGATCCTGTTGCTCCTGATCCCTTGGCGACTCCAAGCGCTCCAGATTCTCGCGACTCCTGGACGAAACCTGACGCATCAGAGCCTGTCGCGTCCTATAACGAGCTCCGCCAGTATGCTCCGATGTTAGGGATAACTTGGAGCCAAACCAACCATCGTTGGCCCGAGCCAGCATAGGGGTTCCGGGTTCAGTAATCTCATAACCCGGTCGCTCGGGATCATCCACATTGAAGAGATATTGCGAGGAGAAGATGCCACGTTTGCCACGCTTCTGATACTGACAGTATTTGCACTCGTAGTCCTTCCATGGATCATTGGCAGGTGTCAGCAGATTACCATTCGCTTCCATCAACTGCTCCGGTTGATCCTTATCCGGTTCACCCTCCATGGCCACCTGAAGGGCGGCCTTTTCGGGCTTCTTAACATGCCACAACACTGGCTGCAGGGTTAGAGCACAAAGCACAGCATTCATGGCAATGCCGGCATAGATCAAAATACTACCCTGGGCCCCATAGTAGTCCAGCAGGAAGGTGGACACTTGCGGAAAGAAGATCGGTCCCAATCCCGTGATTGTCCACGAGAATCCGGTGGCACGACGTCGTCTCAATTTAAAGTATGTATTCACGGCCAACGAGGTGGCTGCCATGGCCAGACCCAGACCAATGCCATAGATGGCCGACAGGCAGATGATGTATTGCCAAAAGTTGGTACAAAAGGCAGAGAGAAAAATGCCCACGAAGGCCAACGTGGTGCCTGTGAGAGCCACCTGACGGAAGGTAAAACGCCGGAACATGGCTCCATTGACAATGCCTGATAGGAATTGGGATTGATAATATAATTAGTACATCTTCTGGCTCATCCAAGTCCAATTGAAACACTTACCTACTAACGAGGATATGGCCATCACCACATTGACTATGGTGGTGGTCTGTTTGGCATCAAAGCCCAGGGAATGCATTCGCACTCGATAGATGAGACCATATTGTTGCAGAGCTGGGAACAGGAAGAACTGCAAGGAAGATGTTATTTGTTTAGAGAAGAGAATATGGGGTTGGAAGAAAGAATCTATTATATTAAAATGAACTCACATTATTCAAACCAGCTGCCAGGCAAACCACCCATCCCCAGCCTCCATCGGGAGCCACAAAATTCGGTCCTAGATCACTCTTATCCCGCCTCTTGGGCTTCTTGGGTTTTGTGGTGTCATTGTACACATGAATGCGATTCTTTTCCGTCAGGTTAGACTTATCCATGATAGTGGGATGCAGTCCTGAAAAAGTAATGCAAAGGATTAATAAAATTAATTAAGTTTCTAGCTTAGGGCTTAAGTTTACATAAGAAGGTTATGAATTAATTCAATAATATAGATACAGATAAATTTAAAGATATATTAATTACCATCTGGTAGAACCCAAGAATCTCTTTAATATTTTTACCTTCTCAGAAATCCCTATAGGTTTTCATTAGCTTTTATGTGCTAATCTGCACAAATCAATCGAATCGAAAGTGTGAAAATTGCCACATTTTTCCTGAGAACTCTCTGCTCATCCTCGCTAAATACCCGAACCCCCATATCAGATCTATAGAAAGACGTTACAAATGAGAACCACTTAAGACAACATATCTCAATTGCTACGAAAATTATCAGGTATGCGAAGAGAGAGCTGTGTTATTAGATACCTGCCCAACTTCTGTCCCCTACTCCACCTCATCCCCTCCAATTTATATCTGCAGTTTATCGATGACACACCTTTAATAACTCTTTGGGGGAAGGAAAGAAAAGGCGGGGGCGCAGGTGAAGATAATGCTCTAATTGCTAATTGGGATTGAGGCGGCATTGTGAAAATGTTGCCATAGATAGCAGCACCGAAAGAAAATCTTTAAGATACATACGGTATATAGTTAAAGATACATTTTATGGGTTTATATAAAGAAGAATATAGTTGAAAATAAGCAAGAATATGTAACAAATCAATTGCATAAATTGAAATCTTATATATTCACTTATAATTTCAGAATTTATATTACTATTTATAAGAAAAATAAAAAGGCTTTAATAATGTACAATTTTCTTTGCGTGCATATTTATTTGAATAGCATGCGGTGTCATTATGACAATCATTGGCATTTATGGCCGGATAGGGTCTATCGAGTGGAGGCTCTATCACAGATATAACCATTTTGTATATATGTTTTCTATATTTTTCGATACGGTTTAATGGGTGCGACAGCCAAAGATTGGTATGCAAAGCACGTCGATTGAGCGATCTGAAAAGGAAATCACTTAGAAAGGAGCATGGAGCATGGAGCATGGAGCATGTCTAGAGCATAATGGAAGCCGCCAGACCGGACCGTCTCCTTCTCCGTTCTGGCGATAATCAACAGACAAGTTGTAAATGCTAAAAAAGGAAAAATATAATAATAATAAAAATAAAAGCACCATGACAACATTGCTTATTTATGCATCGATAATGCGAGGACAGAGCCGGTGCAGCCGTCAGTCACGACACCCAAAAGAAAGATCCGGATCGGATCGGATCGGATCGAATGGGGATGTCTTCATTCAGACATTCCTTCAGTCTCCACACAGAGAGCTCCATTTGCCATTGAACTTCATCGAAGCGTGCCGCAAATTGACGCCACCCGCCGTTGCAGCCAGTCTGGAAGCGAAGTCTGTGGATCATCATAGGGGATCCGGGGGGAAAAACGGGTTCCCCCAATGGCACTTAACAGTCTCACAACTCCAAACGCAATTTATCAACTGGGAAAATAAATATAAAATACTAGGAGGCGAAGCACAAGTCGCACTCAAGAATACACTTGCCAAAGAGAGTTGGTTATCAAGTTTAAAGGAATATACGAAGAAGCCCATACATTTTGTAATATTTTAGATTTTCATTTAAAAAAAGAGAACAAATTTAGCTCTCTTAAAATTCCTTGCTTTTCTATAAAACTATTTCCTCTGTTTTTGGCTCTCTTTTTCAATTAGAGCAACAAGAACAGCAAGAAGATTAAGTTATATTCATTAGATAACAAGAGAGTTCTTTATAATTTTGAGTAACTGGTTTGCTTTCCTTCAGGCTTTGCCTGCCATGTACAAGAAGTGCAACAAGAAAAATGTATAAATTTAACTGAGTAGCGAATAAAATAGTTATTTTTAAGCTGAACTTTAAAATAGTTTCGCATGCTCTCTCTCCGAATACAATTGAGTAAAAAGGGATTTGCTTTGAGAGAAATCATTCTTTAAGGTTTTGTGTCCATTTGTTTTTAACATTAATTAAACATTAAGTTCTACCAAAACTTAACAGATTAAATATATATATATCATATATAAATATATGAGAAAGAATAAAACAAGAAGCTCTGCCTTTATCTCTGTTATTGTTCAGGTCATTTAATCTCTGCTTTGACATTTAATTAAAGACTTCAATATAATTACACATTGGTCATACATGTGTACATATATTTTATGTAATTAACAGAACGCAAATCCTCGCATACAACTGAAATGTGATATCTTCTAGCCAACAAATTGCAAGCAAAAAAAATGAAAAATTCATGGTAAAAGTGCAACATTAATTCCAAATAATGAGGAGAAACGAAGCACACAAACTCACTGAAGAAATCCAATACAAAAGTCCAATTAAAAGGTGAATTTTTTGTGTCAAAGTCCACCGGTGATATTTTTTGGGGAACTTCTTGTAATTAAAGAGTCAGGTTTTGGTTTTCATTTTTTGAACAAATGGGTCTTTAAGGTGCTTTTATTTATTAGGAAAAAGTATTCAAAGAATAGATTAATTTATTATTATTAATATGGAAAATGTATAAAATACATACCCATAAAAATGAAGTAAAAATATTATTAACATAGTGTTCAAACTCTTTCAATTTCAATTGTTATCACTGATTAGAGGCAGAGGCAACTTTTTGTAATTAAAGAGCCAGGTTTTGGTTTTAATTTTCTGATCAAATGTACCTTTAAAATTTAAAATTTACTTAGAAATAATAACAATTAATATGGAAATTGTTTAAAATATATATGTCTCCATATTGATAAATTAATAATAGTTATTATAGCATTTAAACTCTTTCAGTTACAACTGTTATCACTGATTAGAGGCAGAGGCAACTTTTTGTAATTAAAGAGCCAGGTTTTGGTTTTAATTTTGTGATCAAATGTACCTTTAAAATTTAAAATTTACTTAGAAATAATAACAATTAATATGGAAATTGTTTAAAATATATATGTCCCCATGATGATAAATTAATTATAGTTATTATAGCATTTAAACTCTTTCAGTTACAACTGTTATCACTGATTAGAGGCAGAGGCAACTTTTTGTAATTAAAGAGCCAGGTTTGGGAGTTCAATTATTAAAGAACAATGTACTCAAAGAGTAGATGTATTTCATATTCTTAAAATGGAAATTGTTTAAAATAGATTACCATAAAAATGAAGTAATAGTATTATTGACATAGTGTTCAAACTCTTTTGGTTCCAACTGTTCTTACTGATTAGGGGCAGAGTGCAGGCCTGCCCAGAATAGGATTTCTATACTATATATATCGAATATATATATATATTAACAAGTATGCTAACTCACTGCCACGACAGGCATGTCGAATCGATAATGCCCGCTCATGTTGCGAGAGTATTAAGGCGAAACTTTCGCTGAGAGTCGGGTTGGGAATATCGAGCAGGTTGGAGGAGAGCTGCTGCTCGATCTCAGATATATATATATATATATACATATATATTCCGGTTTCATCGGGGCACTGGGAACAAAAGTGGGAGACACAGAGTGCTCGCTCTTGCCGCAATTTGTCGCCGATGCTTATATTTTTTTTTTCCTATTATAACTATTATATTGTATAGTAATTTTGCGCAGTCATGCCGCGTGAGCAACAATTTGGTGTATGAAAACAAATACTCATGCTTAGAGGAGACGACGACGACGATGACGATAAAGCTGAAAAGTGCTTTAAATTGATTTCATTTCTGGAATTTCACAATATTCTTCTCATGCTTCGATTAAGTAAAAGTAAGTAGTTCCGATTAGGCAAATATGAGACAAGTAATGCTGATATAGTATTACTATTTTTGTGCTCTGTCCATAAATTTGCATTATATATGTTGGTACATATGTATATAATGTGGCCCAAGAACCAAAAAAGTCAATAAACAAAGGGATTTCGGTGGGCTTATTGTACCCGGAATGGCTTTATCTTAACACCGATAAGGTTTGAACAAAAAAGAAAAAACAATATATAAACAAGGGAAGAGAAACAGAGTGTTGGCCCAGACAAAAGGCACTGATACAATATATAAACTCAGAAGGATTGGCAAATACTTTTCGCATTGCTCAGATAAGAATCAATCTGCGTTCCAGAAAACACATGCTGTGCTAAAAATAAATCTTACCAAACTCAAATAAGAACACAAGAAACCCTTGATAATTAATATTATATTATATTTGCACCCGGAAACCCTTAAAATAGTTTAATTGTCTATTGCATCGCAAATATTTTTGCAAATTCATAATTCCCCATAATTATTATGGAAGAAATGCAAACAATTTGTCAAGTTTTTTTTTACTAAGTTTGGTGCCTGAACCTTATCACATTCGAGTGGCAATTAGGCGGGACTGAGAGATGATGACTCAGTGGGGGCAGCGATAGATAACACAGATACGGCTCCGATGGCGGCACTATTGATTAGGTTCTTCGATCGCCGGTCGGTCGGACGGAGCTATCTCCGGTCGGGCCCAACACGGAGCCAGAAGACAAATAGTAGAAACACTTGTATTTCCCTCAAGTTCATGACAAGCACTACACACACACACACTTGTTGTTTTTTTTTTTTGTATGCTGTGTGTAGGTTGTGTGTAGAACAGGTGCAGCTAATGGGCGAACAAGTATTGGACAAGCATCGGACAAGCAGCGAACAAGACGCCCATTGATACACTGGGCGAAAGTTTGATGTGAAAGGGTTAATAATAAACAATTTATAACACATATGTAGCTCTGTATTATAATTAAATCAATATCTATTTTTATTTAAAAATATATGTTTTCTTATTGATATTAAAGAGGCCTTTGGAGCACGTATCACTATCATTTTATTCAAATTCCCAACGAAATTGACAAATATTACACTTAATATAATAACGAAAATATTGTTAACTTTGATATATCAATATATATATTTTTAACAATTAATATATAAGGTTAAGCTACCGAAAATTATCTTACATATTTCTATAACTATAG